AAAACTTTGGGCAATTATGTATTGACATTTGAGGCCATAAGTTTTACAGCTGACTTCCTTCTTGGATTTTATCTCATGCAAACTGTTTCTCATTTTTCTTTCTTCACTGTTTTTTTGTTGTTGTTTAGAGGTTCAGTCGTGGCTGACTCTTTGTGACCCCATTTTGGGTGGGGGGGGAAGAAGGAGGAGGGTGAAAATTTAAAACTCAAAATCTTATGGAAGTGAATGTGGAAAACTAAAATAAACTAAAAACAAATAAATAATTAAAAAAAAAAAGACATAGAGCCAAGGAACTGCTTGGTACTTTTTAGCATTTGGAAACTGTGCCAAATGAACTTCATTGTGACTCTGTGGTGCAGGGCTCTGGGGAGGCAGTTGAGAGGAGAGTGGTTGACAGTACAGTCATAGTATAGGGAGGCAGTACCTACCTGGCTCCCAGCAGAGGAGGACATTCCTAGCCCCTGGAATAAGGGCTATTTCTGGGAAGACAGAGCTTAGGCCCCACTGGTATCAGCGCCTGTTACTACCTCTGGCCTGGCACATGGGAGCAGCAGCAGTGCCCTCGGCAACACTTAGGCCCTGGTATGAGGAGGTAACACAGCCTTAGGACAGGGGGCAAAGTTAGGCCTCAACAGAGACAGAATGTCTTGTGGGGATCGAGGGAAAGAGTAGTAATGCCTGAAGTAGCATTCCTACCCTAGAACAGGGGGGCAGTGGAAGCATTCAGGTCCAGCACAGGGAACATTGCCAGTACCCAGTATAGGGAAGCGGGGCTTGGCCTCAGAAGATCAAGCTGCAGGGCCACCTCATTGGTAGTAAGCAACAGTGCTGGTTTCAACATAAGTAAAGTGGTCAATAGGGGAGTGGCAAAGACAGGCCCAACCAGAATAGCCTTTTGCTTACTATATTTTAGAACTATTGGGATCCCTCTACGTGGCTGCTAGGACCCAGTGGTCATTGGAGTACTCTTTCCAGAAAATTCTGGATGAATTACTGGTGGTTTGAAGAGATTATCTTGTTTTTTCAGTCATAGTGTGGAGGTGAAACTGTTTCCCCAGACCTCGAAGAGGGGGCAGTCCATTAGAGGTCTCTTAAAGGACAAAAATCTGATATTCCTTCTATTTCCCCCCCCATGGGGTTTTGAGGGAGGAGTAGGAGCCCCTCTGGTGGGCCATTTCTCAATATCCATCCTGGCATTGGGACAGGCTGCATACAAGAAGAGGATAATGACTTCATAGGTGCTTTAATACAGATAACCCTGATCTGTGATAAGGATGGATGACTATGTGGGAAGTAGGATCATCTTTAGTTCCTGGTACTGCTTCTGCTCATTGTTACTTCATCTAGGAAGATCTACTGTGAATTGAAAAAAATTGTTATCACCCACTGGGCGGGGCTAGGACTCAGTCCTTCTGGAGGTGGAGGTACAGCCACAACTGCGTGAGATTCCCATGTCTGGTTGCTCCCAGGAGCTGTTGTGTTGTCTTATGGTGTTCTCTCTTTTTCTCTGTCTCATATATACATACATATATAAATAATATATAATATATATAATATATGAATATATAAATATATGTGTGTATATATACATATATGTGTATATATACACATATATACATATACATATATACATACACACATATATATATATATATATATATATAAGCATTCTTTCTGTTTAGGTTTTCTTTTTCTTCTCTATTGCTACCTATGCTAGGCTTCTCAAATCTCCAAGGTCAGTTTTGTTCAGTAATAGCCCCAAAGCAATTTAGGTGGTGGAAGGATCTTTAAAACATTGCCACTAAGGAGTAGGGTATGGTAGAAGTTCTACCAGAACCCACCCCCTTCCTGGCCATGTGAACTTTCCAGGACAGTAGGGCTTGAAATGTTGATATGGCTTCCTGGCTGCCTAAATAAAATAACAAAAACTACACTGCCACTCCCACCAAGAGGATCTGGCAGCTCCTGAGGCCTGACTAGCCACCACCACAGGTACCATAGAAGCAGGGAAGCTGTGCTCAATGGAATCGATGCTGTATCCATGGATGAATATCTTTTCCTTTCTCTAAATGCTCTTCCCTTGTAATGGCTAAGCAAACCTTCTTTTGTTAGCTGTTAGAATGTTATGTGTCTCATTTTGTTCCCATCACAAACTTCAGCTAGCACCTGACATGGCCTACTATCACAAGCAGGCAAACTTTTGTAACTTGATAGAAATAAGCAATCAGTGTTTATGTTTAAAAATAATATTAGCTAATAATAGTAGTTAATATTTATATAGTATCTACTATATGCCAGGTACTAAGCTAATTATTTAGTATTTCATTTATATTAATTTATTATATTTTTTATTATTTCATTTACTCCTTATAACAATGCTGGGAGGTAGGTGAGATTATTATCTGAGGCAAACAAGAAGTAAATGACTTGCCCAGGTTCACACAGCTAGTTAGTGTCTGAGGCTGTATTTGAACTCAGACTCTCCTGACTCCAGGCCCAGCACTTTTAACCACTGTACCATCTAGTTGAGAAGCAAAAAAAATCATCGACAAGTATTTATTGCATGCCAAGCACTGTGTTTACCACTGGGGATATTAAGACAAGCAAAAACATAGAAAGTGCTAAATAATAGCCAAATTTATTGATTTAAAGGCATATAAAATGGATGAGAAACAATAACAAAGAGAATAAGGGGAAAACATAAGATTTTAAAGACAGTACTTTCTATAATAAAATGGAGGACTGACCTAAAGAAATCATAAGAATGAATGGTTAAAAAAAGAACTTAATTTATTAAAATAGTGGTGATATAGAACATTTTACTTCATTTGCTCTGCTCTTTGATGTCTTTTGTTTGAATTCATGTCTTGTCTGGTTGGTAAAAGTATACACACTAAGGGGCTTTTGAGCTATAATTTTGAATGGCTATCAATCCACACTGTGCCTCCAATGTGGGGTAACTTTTGGGGGAGGCCTTGTGAGAGGACATGCCAATGTACTGCACTTCAATAGGTCAAAGATCTGAGATTCCATTAGCAAATTAGAACATCTGTAAAGCTTAGCAGATGAGTTTTGTGAGTTGCTGTTGAAGAAATTTATCTCCCAGTAGCCAACCTTCTCATAATATTTCTCTGAACTTAGCTAGTCTGGTCTTTGGACAACAGTTACACATCATAAGGACCATAGTCTATCTAAGTCTTTCTAGTCTGGTAGTATTATCCAGAGCTTACGCCCTTGGAGAATCCAATACCACCGCCCTAGTATTATAAGGAACAGGAAGCAGTCACTGAATTTTAAATACTCTTTAATTCATTTTCCATATTTTTTTAAATTCTGAAAAAAAAAATCATGACTTTTTACATGATTCCACAATTTGACAATCATAATAAGACTTTACTGACATTACAAAATAACTTGGCACAGGACATTTTCAAATATCAATTCACACTGACACTATGTAGGATGGAAATAATTGATTTGGTGAATGATCCATGTCATTGTACCTTTAAGAAAATGTTACCTAGTGTAAACCTAATGTCAAGTACTAGGAAAAGTCTACTTCAAACTTTAGTAGAACTTCTCAGAATAAATATTTCTCTGAATAATGTGTGAGATTATACTTCTGTTATTTCCCCAAGTTTGTAGTGTTCACAAGAATCTAGAGATAGATGAAATATAATATTTTGCTAATTTTTGTTTGTTTGGTTTTTTTGGCTTAGGCAATCGTGGTTAAGTGACTTGCCCAGGGTCACACAGCTAGTAAGTGTCAAGTGTCTGAGGCTGGATTTGAACCCAGGTTCTTCTGACTCTAAGACCAGAGCTCTATCCTTGCCCTACCTAGCTGCCCCAAAATATAATATTTTAATATAAAAGTTATTTCACTATTTCCAATGGTATACTTGTATGACTCAATCAATCAACAAGCAGTTATTGGGCATTTTTATTGGGCATTAGGCACAAAGTAAAAGGAAATTTACTTTGTGTCAGGCACTGTGCTAAGCACTGGGAATAGAAAGGCAAAACCACAAAAGCAATCCCTACCCTCAAGGAGCTTATATTCTAAGAAAGGAGACAACATTTGCACCCAGTAACAGCTATGGTGTGTGATGACTAACTTTGATAGACTTAGCCCTTCTCAGCAATGCAAGGATCTAAGATATCTCCAAAAGTCTCATGATGGAAAATGCTATCCACATCCAAAGAAAGAACTATGGAGTTTGAATACAGATTGAAGCATACTATTTGCTCTTTTTTTTCCTTCTGTTTTGTTTTGTTTCCTCTTTCTTATGGTTCCTTCTATTTGTTCTAATTCTTCCTCACAACATCACTAATGTGAAAATATGTTTAATACGAATGTATATGTATAGCCTATGTCAGATTACGTGCCGTCTTGGGGAGGCAGGTATGGAAGGAGGAGGAGAAAAATCTAAAACTCAAAAGCTTATGGAAGTGATTGTTGATAAATCAAAATAAATTAATAAAAAAAGAAAAAGAAAAAAAGAAGACAACATATAAATAAATGGGAATATACACCATCTATACAATACATAGTCACATAAAAAGGATAAATATTTGACATGAACACAAAAAGCATAATTAAAGATACTTTCATTGAAGATAATGAGTGAAAGTTTAAAGAAATACTTCCAAGAGAAAGACTTGATGTTCATTACTAGATCTGCTGAATAAGATTTTGACCGAGGTACCACATATGACCTTAACACTATAACACTATATATCTGAAACTAGTAGTGTATACTACTCAGTAGCTTTAGAAAATCTGAAGCTCTGACAGTAAGTGATGCATGTCAGGCCTAGAAAACAATTCTAGAAAGTCAAGAAATTTCATAAAAGAGAATATATTATAACCCCACAAGCAAATAGCTGAGTCAATGGCTTATTATTTTAGCTTATCCAACTCAAAGCTAAGTGACTGGATTTATTTCCAAAATAAGACCAAAGTAAATTAATTCACAGAAACAAGTAATATCTATTGCTTCAGTCAGGTTAGGGGGTAAATGGGGAAAAAAAAGCATACAACTAATCCTTTTCTCCACATTTTATATAGATGTCTCTCAAAATCCTGACAGTGCTATAAAGCATTTTATGATCACTTGAGAAAGTTACCTCTGTGCTGTCAAAGATCTTTTTGGCATAGGAGCCAAAGCTTTGTAGTCTGGTAGTCAGTACTTTCTTATCTATTTCATTCCCTCAATGAAAGTACTGAGTACTAAATGTAAAGCCTGAACATCTTGGGTGAAAAAACAAGGTCAATGAATGTCTGGAATCAAGGATTTAGTTTTGGAAGATGGCTTGTTCTTGCAGTCTTTTTAAATGGTCCTTTCTTGATATCTGATGTCCTCCAGTTTGCTGGAATCCATCTTCCCCTATAAAAAAGCAAATGCTAATAATTTAATGTCATTCACCATTTTAAGCTATAGAAACATTACCTGGGAGAGAGAGCTATATGTTGCTTTTTTTTTTTCACAGTTTATGTAACCAACACATTTTAAGAACAGTAGGATCTTCCTAGAAGGTAAAGTGTTACCCAATCAATTAATTATGTCATATTTAATGTAATCTTCAGCTAATGATACGTAGATGTTGATTATTATGTCTCCCATGTGCCAGTCAGCACTAGACTTTCGTAGAACTGGGTTTATTGTGAGGTGGGAGATGGGAAAGGGACAGAATAATTTTCTGGTAAGTGTTCCCTATGGGTCTCAAGTTCCCATCCCCATATGAAATAGGAAAATGAAGTCATTTTGAGTCTAAATATTGAGCTATTACAATAGCATGAAATCAGTTATAATGCATTTAATTGGAACAGAAAAGGAAATGTACGGAAATGTACACCTCAACAATTAGAAACATTCTCAGCATCCATTCTTCAAATTAATAGAACCTGCAATAGATTCACAGGCTGTGAAGATTGGTTTGATTCTGCTTTGAGTTGGCATTTGCAAACTACCTTTTTAAGAGTGATCAAGGCTCCACCTCTGCTCCTGATAACCCAGGGTATGATGAGGACTCCCTGGTTCAGAAATGTCTCTCAGCTTGCTCTACGGAGGCATCAATTCCTTTGGGATTACTGAGTTTGGGGAATGGACTACAATCCCATTTAAGAAGCCATACCTAACCATACACACCAGCTTCTATTTCTCCCACCCTTCAGAAGACTCTTATTCCAGTCATTTGGTTTAGGTATCAAGCCCATATTTCTATCATAGAATATATTCGGTAGGACTCTTTATTTATTTTTAAAAAAAATTAGCTTATCTAACACTGGAATTGATTTTTCTTTGAATGTTGTATTGAATTTGCCTGTAAATGTCTGGTCATAGATTTTTTTTTCCTTTGGGAACTAATTTATGGCTTGTTTAATAAGACACTGGGTTATTTAATTCTCTACTTTTCTGTTTATACGAACAGTTATTTTTTTTTGTAAATATTAATCCATTTCATTTATGCCATTGGTTTTCTTTGACATAATTGGACAAAATGTTTCTAATATTTTTCTTTATTTTTTGTGAATTTTCCTTTTTCATTTTTAATACTGGTAATTTGGTTTATTTTTTTCTTTTTCTTTCTTTTTCTAGTGCGGTGAATTCTTAATGCTTTTTGCCCTGCTTCAAACTCTCCCACTCCAAACCATCCTCACATGAGTTGCCAAGTTGATTTTTTTTCAAGTGTGTATATCTGATTGTGCAAAGTTAGCTATTCATGAAAGTCTGAGTGACCCTTATGTTTGAAACCTTGCTTAAATATTGGCTATGTGAGCAACTAGCCTGTGGGAGATGGCAGTTCAAAAATACCCTTAGGCATGTGCACTTAGACATGGAGAAAAAAGCTAAAGTGGCACAAAACCCATCTCCTCGTGATACATGTGCCAATCAATGTAGTTTTGCCCTTATATGGAAATTGTTTACTCCTGTCTATAAAAGCTACATGGTGTTTTGAAATCTGCACCTCCACATTCCAACTGCTTACTGCTTTGGTGTGCTAATAAAATACTTTGCCTTTCTTTTCCTGAGTTTGCCTCATTGACTAGGGTTAGGTCTAAACCAAGATTTTTTTTTTAAAGCAATTTTGGTGGCCACAGCAGGAACCTTTGCCTGCACAGCTGTCACTAGGTGAAACTACTGCAACTCTACTACCAGTACTCAGACCTTTGTCTGATTACAATTTGGCATGGACTCTCTCAGAGGTCAGTCAGCTGTGAAGTAGTCAGAGAATTAAACTCTCCAGACTCAAGAAGGATAAGAAGAGAAATAGGACTCAAGCCCCAAATTTGTGCACGAAGATACGGGAGTGGTGCTGTGTGAAGGAAAAGGCAGTGGTAAATAACAGTCTTGACCCAACATTATGTCTCCAACGGACAGAATGGTCAAAGGAATACAGGTATCATTATAGGATTGGGACAGAGTAAACCTCCTTACTGGTTCCCTCTTAAGCAAGCTGTTAAAAGGTCGGGATAAGGGAAAACTGCCATTTCAACCGGGAATGTCCACAACTTTAGTGGTAAAACTCAGTTTGGACTGGACTCAGTATTTAGATAATTGTGGGAAGCAAATTTGGCCAGATAAATATGGGCCCTTTGATCATAGTCAGCTGTGTATGCTGAAAATCAGACTTGAAGAACTAGAGCCTAGGCAAATAGATTATTGGTACTGTTGGGCAGAACTTTCAGACCGAGACTGCCCCTCATTGCCATATCCTTTAGAGGTGCCAGTCCTCACCATTAAACCATAACCATATAATCCAGATTTCTCAGAATCAAAGACCATGGCACTCTTAAGAGCCACTTTTATAGGGAATAATCAGAGGAAAGTGCATCTCTCCTTTTCACCAGGAGACATTGTATTATGGCAATAATTTACTCCACCCTTTTGGATGGACACAGTCACCATCATTAAGAAAACTAGGACCACTATAAGGAGCCATAACCCCATTTGGGAGGATGCCGCACTACTAGATGCCCTCCTCATAAAGGATGAAAAGGCAAAGGTCCTGTCCTGTACTGTGCTGTAAAGTTAGAGGATGAACATAATAGGACCACATGGCCCAGAATGGCTTCTGATTGGAGTTATAGTAATCAGAGGGACTGGGAAATGTTCAGTGATGCAAAAATGACCCTCTAGAGCAGACTGCACAACTGGTAGATTGGGAAAAATTCCATGACACTATATAAAATTTAGATGAATATCCCAGTGCTTTCCATATTTGTGTGCTACTGTCCAAAAATGTGCTCAGATACAGAATGTGAGCATGTTCTAAATTGTCTTAGCTTATGTTAATCACTCAGCAGCAGATATTTCTGATTATTGTCATAAATTCTGCCCCAGCTGGAGTGGGAAACCACTAGTGAATTCAGCAGAACTGTGTTGTGTTTGATGGGCAGAAGGAGAAGGGACTTAGAGAAAGAAAGTAAGTTTAAGGAAGTGAAGATTTTGGTGGTCTCTACGAAGGGGGTGATGCAGGAGGATAAAGAAGTAGGAACAAAGGACCAGAAAGGGAGGTTTAGAATACAGGGGAGGGGGACCAGTGTGCTTTCACAAGAAAAAGGAGGGGCAATTTAAGTGAGATTTCAGGAAATGAGCAGGACAAGGCCTCCAGCAGAGGGTCACATCCTCCATGTTATCCGAAGGGGACCCCATGAAGAGCCAGCTACCATGTAGACCCCACTCACTGTAGTGTTAGTGCCCTCAATCACAATCCCCATGGACACCAAATAGTCTGTACGGTATTTTGAATAGTAGGGATTAATATTCACAATGACAGGAGGAGACAGGTGGTTAGGAACCACCCAACCACTAGGGTGTTTCTTAGGAATGTTGCAGAGGACTCAGGTATAGTTAAGGAGCCCTTACTTGAGATTGCTGTTAATGGAACTTTGTTTGCTAAATGGATACAAGGGTAATTTTCTCAATGCTTAAGTGCCCTCCTGAGGGCTTCCTGTTATTAAATATTGAAAGAATAATAGGGGAGATGTGTCCCTTAACCACTCTGCTTAAAGCAGTTATTGGACCTTCAACATATTTTCATTCCTTTTTGTTAATGTCGAATTCCCCTATGTCATTGTGTGGAAGGGACGTGTTATATAAACTTGAGGCCATTATTCACTGTGATCGGGGAGGGGTTAGACTAGAATACAAAGGAATTGATTTGGCTCATTGGGCAATTTTAAAGGACCTTAAAAGTTTATGGGACCCCTAGCATCTGATTTGTCTGCCACAACAACCCCTCTTCATTCATGTACAGTCCTAGATTTGTTGGGATGGCCATCACCTGTTTCACTCGACTAATGCTTCCTTCAAGGCTTCTGAAGGTTGTGAAGGATTCAGGCCTCTTTAGGCATATAAGCAACTACTTCCTTGGTGAGTTCCCCTAGTGCTGAAATCCAAGGGCAGCGGTATCCCACAGCCCCCAACAGGGCACATACCTGGAGTTTTGTTTTTGGTATTAGCATTGAAGGATACCCAGGATCCTACCATTTGTCAAGGCCCTAGAGTTGGGGCTCACCTCACATCCCAGGTACTGCACTGTGGGAGAGGCAAACTAACTTTAAAGAAGAGATCTGGTGGTCTTTTTAATAAAGAAAACATAGGAGAAAAATAGCATCTTCCTCACAGGCTCCCTGAGAAGGAGGGGTAAGCAGTAAGTCATCAACATATTGAAATAAGGTGGGCCTCAGGGCAGGTGTACATCTTGTTAGGAATTTTCAGCATGTGAACAGAGTGGGAGATTCACAGTAACTCTGGAGGCAGCCTGATCCAAGTGTATTGGTGGCCCTTTCAAGTTAAATGTAAAGAGGTACTATGAGTCCAGGTCTACTGGAACACAAAAAAAGGCAGTACACAAATCAATAACGGAATATACTTTCATATTGTAAGGAAAGTTGGTGATAATGGAAATAGGATTTGAGACCACTGAGGCTCTCAGGATAACAAAATTATTGATAGCTCATACCCTGGACAAAATGATATACAGATAGGCCTTCATCTTTCAACTTATTTTTCCTCACTGGCAGTACAGGGATGACTGGCATGGTACTATCACCCCCAGATAGATGTAAGCATCGATGACTTTCTGAATAGGTTCAACAGCCTCTAAATTAATATTTATTAATATTAATATTAATATTGTTGTACACCAGGGGGCGGTCCATCCTTAGTATGGATTTGCACAGACTGATGATATTATGACTATATAAATGCCTAGACCTCATACTGTTGCTGTCGTTTTATTCCAGTCTAAGACTCACGCCTTCTTCTACCAATAGGTAGATGCTTATGAGATAAGCATTTGGTCAGGCCCTAATCTCTCCATTCAGCACTATTACTATCTTTAATCCAACCACTCTCCTTCCTGAATCCCTGAAAGATGATTAGGTGTTGGTCAATTGAGGTAATTGAGTGAGACTTGGGGTACAGGAAGTCAATTTGGTAGCACTGACCAGGGCATGCCAGCTGGCTGAGGGACTCTGAGTGAACATTTAACAGATTCCAAATATGCCTTTGGTAGTCCATCATGCCCCTGGCACGTTGTGGAAGTATCGAGGCAGCATCATCACAAATGGTAAGCCAGCACCTTATGCTTTACTTATTGACCAACTTCTTTAAGCTATTTTGCTTCTTGGGGCCATCTTCATGATGCATTGCCTGGCCCAGACCAGAGGGCAGTCATCTTTGTAAAATGGCAACCAGTTTGCAGATGAGTTGGCAAAACGGACTGTCCATCAGGGTCCTCGAGAGCCACCAAACAGAGAGCTTATGCTCTCTGCTAGCCCACCCACTGATTATATTCTTCCTTAGTCACAGATGCTGAAATTGACATCTGGGTGACCAGACATGAAGCCATTCTGTGCCAGATGTGCCCCTATTACACCTAAATGACTGTGTGCCTCTGTGCCAGGAACTCCATGCCTGAGGATATAGTGGAACCAAAGCACTCATACTGTAAGTTCTGCAGTCATGGTTTGCTTTTGGTGTTTATGCAGAGGACCACAATATGGTCTCTAGATGCTTCTTTTGTCAGCAGTTCAACTTTTCACAGAAGAAAACTGTGACAAAAGGGGGGAGAAAGTGGGTAACCCTACCATTTGAACACCTGTAGACTGACTTTATTGAATTGCCAAAGTCTATGGGCAACAAATGTTTTGGTGTACACAGACCAATTGAGCCACTGGGTAGAGGCCCTTCTGGTGACACACACCACAGCAAACATAGTAGCAAGGTACATAAGGCATAATACCAGGATTTGGCCTGCCATGTACCAATGGCCACACTTGACCATAGAAAAAACTAAGCTACTCTCCAAGTTTTTTGGGATAACCCTGGGCTTGCACACATTTTATCCCCCTCAACCATCAGGGAGAATTGAGTGGCTAAATGGGGAAGTTAAGACCCTTTGGGGAAAATTATGCTAGGGAACATGCTTAAAATGGCCTCAGGCTCTTCCTCTTGTGTTGTTCCAACTAAGAAATTGCTGGCAGGATTGTGGATTTTCACTTTTTGGAATCTTGTTTGGTAATTGCTACTCAGGGGCTGGACGCTGAGAGCCTGAGCCTGGCCACAGGGAATGGAAACCTGATAAGATATGTGATCTCTCTGTCTAGTACTCTTTCACAGGCCTACGAGGATGTAGCCTTGATGCAAACTCTGTCTTTGGAAGAGGTGGTGCATCCCTTTAAGCCAGAATGGATCCACAGCTTCAGAAAGACATCTAGTCTCCAGCCCTTCTGAAACGGACCTTTCCAGCCTAGCAGAGGAAGCAACCTCTGATCAGTCATTGGACCCAGGTAAGCTGAGAGAGGACTTCCAACACCAGTCAGTGGTCCTTGGATGCTTTTTATTTGACCTTGGTAATTAGAATCTAATCCCTTACCTACTATCTACTGTGCATTTGTTTTTTGTGTTTTATGCCCTTGGGATTGGGGGAACAGAAAAGCCCAACACTTCTGTGCATCGGATCTAACATTCTAGCCTGGCCTTTAACTGGACCAACTGCTGGACATGTGCACATGCCCCTTTGTCCTTAGGGGAAGGGATACCTCTGGTGGGTATGGGGTCAGACATCCAGGACTTGTGGATTATTATTATTATTATTATTATTATTGCAGCAATAAGACAAACTTAAATACAACACCTAATTGTACTGACATAGGCTAGAATAATGAGTCTTCCTGCTTATTCACTTTTAATTGAGAAAAGATCACTAACCTTTCACAATTCTCAACCCCCTTGAGCTTGTACCATATTGTCAGGCCTCCAGTTCTGTGTTATGAAAAAAATGGAACACAAAATCAGGAAATGGGATGGCAAATGGGATGTAATTATACCCTATCCCTGAAATGAAATGTGTCTATTCAGGAGGGGAATGGCCTTCTGAGAATTTTTCTTAAGCTGAGGGCCAGGCACAAATGAGCAGATTTTTTTGGATAGCACCACAGGGATTTTATTCTCTGTGTAACAAAAACACATGTTCCTGATTCCCCTCAAATTGGACTGGCAGGTGTGGGTTGTGGTGGGTGTTCTTTGGCCTTTGGCCCACATCTACCCACCTTCTAGCACACACTTGCAAAGCAAGCATGCAGCCATCCAAGTTTCTGCTACCTCAGTTACTCATATATTTTATTTTATTTTATTTATTTATTTTAGGCAATTGGGGTTAAGTGACTTGCCCAGGGTCACACAGCTAGTAAGTGTCAAGTGTTTGGTCTGAAACCGGATTTGAACTCAGGTACTCCTGACTTCAGGGCCAGTGCTCTATCCACTGCGCTACCTAGCTGCCCCCACTCATATATTTTAGAAATGACACTTTTATCAAAGAATTTGCTGCAAAGATTTTCACCCAATTTCTTGCTCCCCCCCCATTTTAGCTGCATTAGTTTATTTATGCAAAACATTTTAATTTTATATGATCAAAATTGTACATTTTTATTTCCTGTGATCTTTTCTGTTTCTTGTTTGGTTATGAATTTTTCCATTCTCCACTAATTTGCTTTTATCACCCTTTCTAGCTAAATCATGAACCTACTTTGAGCTTATCTTGGTATATACTGTGTGAGATGTTGGTCTATGTCTCATTTCTGCTTTATTGCTTTCCAGTTTTCCCAACAGATTTTCTCAGATAATGAGTTCTTGCTGCAATAGCAAAAATCTTTGGGTTTATCAAACTCTAGGTCATTTAACTTATTTGCTTATGTATATTGATTATCTAATTTATTCTACTAATCAACCTTTCTATTTTTTCTACAGTACCAATTGTTTTGATGATTACAGCATTGCAATATAGTTTGAGATCTGTTACTGTTAAACTCTTTTAATTACCCCCCCTTTTAAAAATGTATTCCCTTGATGTTCATGACCTTTTTAGTTTAGCCCGCTGAATTTTTTGACTTATTTTTTTTAACATTCATTTTTAAAATTTTGAGTTCCAAATTCTCTCCCGTCCACAAACCATTCCACACCCATTCCAAAAGCAAACAATATGATAACCATTATACATGTGAAGTCATGCAAAACATTGCTATGTCACAAAAAAAAGCAAGAAAAATAAAGTGAAAAAAAATAAGCTTCAGTCTGTACTCAGAGTTCATCAGTTCTCACTTTGGAGATGAATAGCTTTTTCATTATGAGCCCTTTGGCATGGTCATGGATAATTGTATTGATCAGAGTAGCTAAGTCTTTCATAGTTGGTCATTGTTACAATACTGATATTACTGTGTACAATGTTCTCTTGGTTCTACTCACTTTACTTTGCATCAGTTCATATACATCTTCCTGGGTTTTTTCTGAAGCCATCCTGCTCATCATTTCTTATAGCACAATAGCATTTCATCACAATCATATACCACAACTTGCTCAGCCATTCCCTCAGTTCCTATATATTTGAGAAATCAAGCTTTTATCAGAGAAATCCCTCCTCCACCTCCTCCACTCCATTTGCTGCTTTCCTTCTAATTTTGGCTGCTTTAGTTTTGTTTTTGCAAAAACTTTCAAATTTCATGTAATCAGAATTATTCATTGTATTTTTCCTGTGATCCTCTCTGTCATTGTTTAGTCATAAATTTTTATGAGAAAACCCTTTACATCCTTCAACTTTGCTAAAGTTATTGTTTCAACTAGTTTTTTAGTTGGTTCTCTAAGTATACTGTAATATCATCTGCAAAGAGTTGTGGTTTTGTTTCCTCATTGTCTATTCTTATTCCTTCAATTTCTTTTTCTTGTATTATTGTTGAAGCTAGCATTTCTAATGCAATATTAAATAATGATGATGATAACAATCATCTTTGCATCAGTCCTGATTTTAATGAAAAGGGTTCTAACTGAATACCATTATAAATGATTGTTCTTGGATTTAGATATATACTACCTAACATTTTAATAAAAGCTCTATTTATTCCTGTGTTTTCTAGTGTTTTTAAGAGGAGTGTTGTATTTTGTAAAAAAAAAAATTCTGCATCTATTGATATAATTGTATGGTTTTTGTTCTTTTTGTTATTGATATGGTCAGTTATGCTTATAGTTTCCCTAATATTGAACCAGTCCTACCTTCCTGGGATAAATCCCAACTAACCATAGTGTATAATCTTTGTGATATACAGACATATCTTGGATATATTGTAGGTCTGGTTTCAGACCACCACAATAAAGCGAATATTGCATCAAAGTGAGTCACACAAGTTTTTTGGTTTCCCAGTGAATATAAAAATTGTTTTATGTCTAAAACCCCCCAAATGTACATACTTTAATTGAAATACTTTATTGCTAAAAAAGAAATGCTAACCATCATCTGAGCCTTCGGTGAGTTATAATCTTTTTGCTTGTCGAGGGTGTTGCCATGCATTGCTGAGAAAAAGGCACACTCCTTTTTATTCCCATTCATTTTTCTCCAGAGAGCTATTATATCCAACTTCTCTAAAATTCTATTCATCTCTTTATTTTCTTTCTCATTAATCTTACAGTTAGATTATCTAACTCTGAGAGGAGAAAGTTGAGGTCTCCCACTAATGTTAATTTCCTCCTGTAACTCATTTAAGTTTTCCTTTAAGAATCTGGATGCTCTGCCATTTGGTGCATATATGTTTCATATTGATATTACTTCATTGTCTATGGCACCTTCTTTCCCTGCTTATTTCTTTTAATTAGGTCTATTTTTGCATTTGCTTTTTCTGAGATTATGATTGCCACCCCTGTTTTTTTTACATCAGTTGAAGCATAATAGAAGCTGTTCTAGCCCCTTATTTTATTTTATTTTTATTAACTTATTTTTTCAACAATTACTTCCATAAGCTTTTCAGTTTTTAACTTTTCTCCCCTTCCCTTCCCACCTCCCTCCCCAAGATGGCATGCAATCTGATATAGGCTGTATATATACATTCCTATTAAACATATATTCACATTAGTCATGTTGTAAGGAAGAATTAGAATCAATAGGAGGAACCACTAGAAAGAGGAAACAAAACAAAACTGAAGGAAAAAAAAGAGCAAATACTATGCCTCAATCTGCATCCAAACTCCATAGTTCTTTCTCTGGGTGTGGATAGCATTTTCTATCATGAGACTTTTGGAGATGTTTTATCTTTGTACAAGAAAGTCTAGTCAAAGTTAGTCATCGCACAACATGGCTGTTACTGTATTCAACGTTCTCCTGGTTCTGCTCACTTCACTCAGCATCAGTCCATACGAGTCTTTTCAGGTTTTTCTGAAGTCTGCTTGCTCATCATTTCTTATAGCACAATAGTATTCCATTACATTCATATACCACAACTTATTCAGTCATTCCCCAATTGATGGGCATCCCCTCAATTTCCAATTCTTTGCCACCACAGAAAGAGCTGCTATAAATACTTTTGTACATGTGTATCCTTTTCCCATTTCTATGATCTCTCTTTGGGACAGAGACCTAGAAATGGTATTGCTGCATCAAAGGGTATGCACAGTTTTATAGCCCATTGGGCATAGTTCCAAATTGCTCTCCAAAATGGTTGGATCAATTCACAACTCTACAAACAATGCATTAGTGTTCCAATTTTCCCACATCTTCTCCATCATTTGTTATTTTCCTGTTTTATCATGTTGGCCAATATGATAGGTGTGACGTAGTATCTCAGAGATGTTTTGGTTTGCATTTCTCTAATCAATAGTGATTTAGAGCATCTTTTCATATGACTATAGATAGCTTTAATTTCTTCATCTGAAAACTGTCTGTTCATATCCTTTGACCATTTATCAATTGGGGAATGACTTGTATTCTTATAAATTTGACTTAGTTATATATTTTAGAAATAAGGCCCTTATCAGAGGCACTGGTTATAAAAATTCTTTCCCCATTTTCTACCCAGCCCCTTATTTTAACCCTGTTTGTGTCTTTCTGTTTCAAGTGTATTTTTCATAAATAACATATTGCTGGATTCTGGTTTCTAATCCTTTCTGCTATCTTCTTCTGTTTTATGGGTGAATTCATCCCATTAACATTCACAATTACGATTACTGTGATTCCATCATATTTTCTTCTTTTGTTCTTTTTTCACCCTGTCACTCCTCAAAAGTTTATTTTGCTTCTCACCACATATATAGAGAGAGGGCATAGAGTGAGAGAGAGGATTGTACTGGGAGAAGGAAAAAGGAAAAGGTAGAATGGGGTAATTATCACACATAAAAGAGGCAAGAAAGAGTTTTTACAGTGAAGGCGAAGAGTGGGGAGGTGAGAGGGAATGATTAAATCTTACTCTTATCAGACTTAGCTTAAGGAGGGAATAATATACACACTCAATTGGTAATGGAAATCTGTCTTACCCTACAGGAAAATAGGTGGAAGAGGAATGGGGGGGGGAGATAGAAGAGAGGGCAGATTGGGAGAGGGGGTAATCAGAAGCAAACACTTTTGAGGAGGGACAGGGTCAAAGGAAAGAATAGAATAAATGGGGGGTAGGATAGGATGGAGGGAAATATAGTTAGTCTTTCACAACATGACTATTATGGAAGTGTTTTATATGACTACACATGTATAACCTGTATCAAATTGCTTGCCTTCTCAATAAGGGGGCCTCCTCAATAAGGGAGGGAGGAAGGGAGAGAATTTGGAACTCAAAGTTTTAAAAACAAATGTTAAAAATTGTTTTTACATGTAACTGGGAAATAAGATATACAGGCAATAGAAATCTATCCTGCCCTATGGGAAAATACAAGGGGAAGGAGATAAGAGAAGGGGTGTGTATGATAAAGGGGAGGGCAGATTGGGGTAAGGGGTATTCAGAATGCATGCTCTT